ACAAGCATCTTTTCTAGGGTGCGCACACTGCCAAAGTTGACTATCTCATTTGTCAGCTTGTTCCAGCTATTGATCGTACGCAGCGAGTTGCCCTTATCGTTCTGCATACCCTTGATTTCTTCAGTTTGAAGATGTGGCCACGTCTTGTCTGGTCCCCGTCTAGCTTGAAGAGATATCCGGTACCTTGCGAATAACACTTCAGGATTCTAAAGGTTCCAATCAGGATATCTTCAAGTCTAAGACATTCAAGGGAAATTAGACCCAGTGCTCGCAGACTCTCAGTGCATGTTAATCTCCTTCGGAGGGGGAACATCCGCGTAAAGCGGCGTTGAACCTTCTCCAGTACCAGTTCATTCCGCACTAATACTCTTGCCCACGCTTAGACACAGTAATCTAAGTGGGGTCGTGCAAACGCTGGGTGCAAGGGGACAAGAACCTCTGGGTCTCTAGAGCATACCGTTCTACGCAGCCTTTGCAGTGCTGAATTTGCTCTGTGGGCTGCTATGGAGTACTGTCGCGAGGATGAGAACGTGGAATTTATGGTAAGCCCAAGGTCCTCCACCTCGGTGCTTAGTTCAATTGCTTCACCTGCAGATTTCCACAGGTACCGAGGATTGTCCACCGGTTCTCCCGTACGCAGGAGCTCGCACTTGTTACTGTAAAGAGGCAGGCTTCATTCTCTAGTCCATGCGTGTAACCGGTTTAGGTCAATTTGCATCCCTTCGTTGTCAGGAGAGACTAAACTTTTGGCATCATCGGCAAGTATGAACAGTGGGTTTGCTACACTTTTTGCCAAGTTGTTGATGAAGACCAAGAAAAGCAACGGTCCAAGGACAGAGCCTTGAGGCACTTCGCTCCTTTAAGTACTGAAGGTGTCTCGAGTGACTGTTGGTGGTGGTGAACTTCTTCCAGGCTGCCTGCTTTCTACTCAGTAATTTAGCTAACCGTTGTGACCACCATTGAGGCTTATTTGGTCTACCGTGCGAAGGCAACGGTGCAAAGGTGTCGGCCAACGAGACAAGGTTTGCTTTTATTCGGTCTCAAGACTCGTGGATATCTGTCGCTTCCTTTGGTTATTGCAGCTGTGACGCGGTCAAGAGGAGGCCCTCAGTGTTTAATGCTGTGTAGCATCGCCTGGGTTCTAGCCTCGGAGCGCGTAGACGACAGACATAACGGAAACGGATAGTCGCGTGATCACTCTTACCTAGGTGTGATTCTAGTTCTAAGTTTACAATGTCATTCACGCCCTTGGTAAATACCAAGTCCGGGATGTTGGGTGGTTTATCTGGTTTCCAACTTGTTGGGGACTTGACGTGCTGTATCATGGTTGAGTTGAGCACTATGTCAAGAAATTTCTCTCCAGAGCTTCCGGGTGTTGCGTTTTCCATCGATCAGTTAATCTCAGGAGCGTTTAGGTCGCCTAGAAACAGAACCCTGTTGGCCTGTCCCGTTACTTGCCTGAGGTAGGTGATCAATTGACCATCCTGCTTTGTGGAGGACCGAAAATTACGGTATGTGCAAACTACTGCTAATTCAATATGAGGTTGTTTTAGCAAGCACCCAGTGGATTGGAATTTTGCTGTCCCCAGGTTGGTTAGGGCTACTTGTGCTAGGTGATCCGCTAAGAGTATTAGTAGACCACCGCCGGTGCGACAGTCAGTGAGATCACATCAATAAGCAAAATACCTTGTGGGTGTAATCCTGAAGTGTTGAGGGCTGGTTTCAGCCACGTGTGAAAATCTGTACTTGGTAACGGAAATCGAATTGCAATAACTCCACGCAATTAAGCTCCAAGCGAACTAGTACGCAGTATGAAATAGAACACCAGAATATTCGAAGTCGAATTATATTACACACCCCGAAATTGTACAAGGGCAATCAATCATGCAAAGAAACAAGAATTTTCAGTTTATACACAATCATTACATCCACCGCAGCTTGAATGAAGCTCGGGGTTGCTGTAATCAAGCCTCTCTTTGCAACGCAAACGTTTGGATCTTCAAGTATTTTCAACGGAACTCTTACAAAGTTCATGTGAAAGGTTTCCATCTGAAATAGACTTAGAAAGAGAAGAATTAGAACATTTAGAATTGGGAGTATTGCAAATTATTTGGTCATCATTTCTACGATGAACTGACCCATTGTTTATGTCAAGGATTTGATACAATCTCTGACTCATCTGGTTCAACACCAACACTTTTGCAGGACGTGGATCATTTTCACGACGATAAATCACTTCAGCTGGTTCTAGATTAGGAATATTGGTACAAAATATACGATGTTTGAATAATTTGGCCGGACTGCTCCCCGTAGCAGTATGAGTTGAATTTCTGTACTACATGAGGAAATTATGAACACCACTTTCTAAATCAGTAAAAGTAGAGCTGTGACAGGATGCAATTGCACTTTTGAATGTCCGAACGAAGTTTTCTGCTGAACGTTTGACTGTGGGTGTCAAGGGGGAGTTAGGATATGACGGCAGCCAGTAGATTTCAGACAATCCGTCACGTTTTTCGCCGTGAAGTGACTACCGTTATCAGTGAAGACAGCTTGTGGTACATCCTCCCAGCTGAACGTCTTCAGGAAGGCAGTTATAGTGAATTCTGCATTGGGTGACATAGTAAACTAAACCCCGGGTCACCGTGAATAAGAGTCAGCAATCACTAGAACGTAGTTTTTGTTTGGGAAGGGACCACAATAAACAACATGGACTCGCTGCCAGGGTTTAGAAGACATTGGTCAAGGTTTCCAATTAGATGGTTGTGTGCAAACCTTGGGGATGCAGTCACTACATGATTTGGCCACTCGACGCAAATCACTGTTAAGCTCGGCCAACAGCAAGTCAAACGTGCGAATGATTTCATTTTCCCAATAGCGAGATGGCCCGAATGCAAGTCACTCAGCACTGCAGAGCGTAAAGATGGAGAGATGATTGTTTGATCGCTGAGACATAATATTCCATCACAAATTACTGAAAGTTCTTCACGACGTTTATAAAACTCTGGGATTCGGCGCTTGGTGTCAGCTCGCCAACCGTGTCGAACGCAAGAAATAACTGTATGGTAGTACTTCTTTGTCTCTCGGACTAGGTCAGATCGACTAACACTAAGTGGTTGCATCAGCAAACAATCATATGTGCCAGGCTCCCCCGGCAATGTATAGCGCGATAAATAATCCACGTGTTGAATCATATGAGACTTGCAATGTTGAATATCCTACGAATAACCGGCTAGTGCGACGCTCCAACGCTGTATCGTGGCCGGTCAACCAACCCGCAATTGAGTGACGCGTAGCCGAAACCGATACGAATTCCGAAATAAAACAAGATTGATCCGTAATGTTCTACGTTACTGAATTAGAGAAATCATTGCAAAATGTAAAATGAAGCAAACCTCAAATATGCGGCCAAAAGCACTCAAGCAAGCGAGCCAAATATGATGTCCAGGAAGAGCCAAACAGTCGCTCACGTTCTCTGACCACGCAAAATTCAAACGTGCCGGGCATAGAACTATCAGATAAATAATAATGTATGGTGTTTGTGAGTGAGAAATGTCAATAGAGAAGCAAAACACAGATAGAGTTGTGTTACCATAAATCATCATGGGTTTGGAAGGATTTTCAAAACTTAAACATGAAACAATCACTTTGCCAGAGATCTGTGGGGATTTTAAATGAACTTCAATACCTCGTGATTTGATATAATTGTGAAATGTGAGCCATATAAGTAATTGTGTAATCGAGTAACAACTCAGTATATTGCAAAAGTAACCACGTTGAGCCTGACTGATTCTGCGAGAAATGCATGGAATTAAATGATCGTTCTGCCTTAACACTGCTGCAATGCCAAATGGTGATGCGTCTGTAATTACTGCCGAATGTGCTTTGGGTGTAAAAGCATGTAACAGCGCATCAGTGGAAAGAAAGTTTAGTAAGCCCCTAAGCGTGGTTTTCTGAATACGTGTCCAATAAAATGTTTGCTGTGGAACAAATGTGAACAGTGGTTCTGCTTCCGTGGCAAAATCTGGAATGAATCTAGAATAATACTGAAGTAAACTGAGTTTGAACGATGTTCTTTAATTGCCTTTGGAGAAAGTGCATCACGAGAGATAAAAAAAAGAGTAGGATCAGCACGAAAGCCATGTTCATCAACAAGAAAACCCAAACACGAAAATTTTGATGTAGGAAATGTACACCTATCTGCATTAATAGCAACATTATGGATATTTATCCGTTCAAGCAGTAGGCACAGCCGCTTATCGTGTAGTTCTTTGTTTGGCACATGAAAGATAATGTTATCTTGGTAAGCTGAAAATCCATCCAAACCAGAAATAAGAGAATTCAAACATTCTGAAATATAACCGGTGAAACACTAAAACCAAATGGCAAAACGTTATGACGAAATAGACCAAATGTTGTGTTAATTGTGGTCAATTTACTAGACTTATCATAAAGTGGTGCCTGAAGAAATGCATCCTTTAAATCTAGTTTGGAAAAGAACTTTGATCCATGAAATTGATGGAGGATGTCTTCGGGTTCAATGGTTGAGCAATTAGTTTGCTTCAAGTATTTGTTGACTGCGATACGGTAATCCCCACAAATTCTGGGTGTTTTACCACTACGTTTCATCGAAACTACAATAAGAGTAGCACAAACAGAACTCACAGACGTTGATACACCCTTTTTAGCCAAATCGACAGAAACCTTTTTCACGGGTTCACGCAGATCCAATGGTATAATTCGACGTTTCAGAAATATTGGGGAATCATCGACTTCCAAGTAAATTGGGGCCATTTTAATTCCACCCTTATTGTTAGAGCATTTAAGAACCAACTGACGTAGTCGAAACTGTTGATCATCAGTGAAAAATTAAAGAGAAATTTTCATGCGTTTCCTAGAATGGAGGCCAATAATAGAAATATCGGAATCAATAACTGGAAAGAAACAATTAAATGTGTGCTTTCATCATCAATAAGAATTATTTCATACCAACCCAAAACAGGATGGTTATGAACAGTTATACCTTTGACCGAAGTGTCAGTTGTGTTAAAATACACATGTTTTTTTTCAAATGCTGAAGAACAGTCTTTAAAATAAACGAATTCACACTACCTGTGTCTATAATGAATGAATGACGAAAACAATGATTGACTGTGAAGCTACGAGTAATGTGTTGAGACTTGTTGGAACTGTTAACCGATGAAGTAAGAGACTGAAAATCGGTAGACAAGCATGAATCAGTTACATGTGCTTCGACAATCACACTGGCTATGCCCAGACTTATCACACTCGTGGCACTTGGTGTTCCTAAATTTGCAAGTCAGTCGAGAATGTCACCTACCGCATGATTTTCAAGGGTTCCAGTGGTGGATGTTGTTATTTTCAGGTTATGTGGACGTCGGACTACGATTAGCGGCCTTGTTGACGCTTTGAACTGCCGTGTCTGTTGGGCTTCAAGCACTGAACCATGAGTTGTGAATGCACAATACTTTTGGTTCATCACATACGACCGCATCTACATCCTGATATTGTTCACGGACCAACTTTGAGGTTTGAAATGTGCAGTTTTGAATCAACAACAATTACTGCTGCTGTCGCTCAGAACAGTTAATTCCAGCAATGAGTTCATCTCGGAGCCTTTTTGAAGATGATCTTTGAAATTACAGCGCTCAGCCTGAGTCCACAGCTGAAGAATGAAGTCTCAGACGGATTGATTAGTATCATGAGTAAAACAATGGAATTTCGCTCTCTCAGCTGCCTCGAAGTTGACTGGCTGGAAATGCTTTAGAAACAGATTCTTCAGTTCTTCATACTTCCGTTGTATAGGTGGCTCTGGGAATGCCAAATGTTTAATCGGTGCATATGCCTCCCTTCCAACTGCAGTAACAAAATGTGCCGTCTTCTTCTCGGCATCCAGACTCCTGCAAGTTAGACACCAAATCCCAAAACGCACCAAATAATCTTCGACATAACATAAATTAGAATGAATATCAAGAATTTTCAAGTTGCAGGTGTCCATACTGAGATAAAAACTGACCGCGAAACCAACTGTGGAAACTTGTACTTGGTAACGGAAATCGAATCGCAATGACTTCACGCAGTTAAGCTCCAAACGAACTAGCACGCAGTAGAAATAGAATATTCGAAGTCGAATTATATCACGCGCCGAAATCGTATAAAGCAATTGATCATGCAATACAATCACCCCACCACGTTTCAGTGACCACTATGCAATTGGCCGTCCCTTCTTCTGCTGGTATGTTGGGCCACTTGTTCATTAAGCTTCGAGCGTTAGTGTAAAGAATATCCAATGTCTGCATCTCACGCTCTGTTCCCTTAGCGGTAAAAGACTGCACCCAGGGCTTCTGCCCGGGTTCCCGCCCAGTTTTTATCTCGGTGGTAGAGTCCTTCCTACGTGGACTCCCGCAGACTGAGTTTACAGTAGCAGAAGGCGTCGCGTTCGGCGTGGCTGTTTCGGTGTCTAACAAAGATGCCGATTCATTTGTAGAGGACCCGGGTATTCGAGCAATAGGGCTCGGTGAAACCTTCGGAGTGGTAGGTTGTACCCTTACAATCAGTCCCCTGGGGCTTTCTGGTGAGGATGGTGGCATAGAAGCTAAATTATTCCTGCTATTTGCGTAATCAGGGCCTACCCGTGGCATCCGTCGCTTTCTTTTCTAAGTGGCTCCAACCATCCAAATCTCGATATAAAACTTTCGGTCGTGAATTATTCACCATATACCTTGAAATATGGCATTTTATGCACATGCTCGAAGGCAGTCCTTTCGTCGTATTCACCGACCATAAGCCACTCATCTACGCATTCCGCTCACACTCTGACCCTTACTCTCCCAAATGTCTCACCACCTAGACTATACCACTCAGTTTACTGAGGATATACGGTACGTCCCAGATGCGCACAAACCTGTCGCAGATGCGTTGACATGCATTAATTTTGTCACGCCTTCCGATAATATTAACCTCTCGAGACTCGCTGAGGCTCAAAAATCCGACCCTGAGTTGGAGCTTCTCAAGAGTAACAGCTCGTTCCATTAGCTATTTCAGACGGTAACATATGGCGCAACTGTTCTACAGGCACCCATCCCCGGCAGTGCCACAGTCCTATAGGAAGAAGGTCTTCAATACCTTGCAAAACTTGTCGCACTCCGGTAATCGCGCTTCAGTTAAGCTAGTCCCTCAGCGTTTCATTTGGCCTAAAATGAATCGTGACGTAGCAAAATAGGAACCTGTATCGAGTG